TAATATCGACAATATTTTTGTCGATCTCTTCTTCTTGGAGCCCTCCTCATTCTTTCCAAAGCGGGCAACCTCTTCGCCTCTCGGGATACCTCATAGATGTGGGCGATGTCTTGAGTAAGAGGCGTGTACTCTGCATACCGCAAGAAAGGTTGTTTGTCTTTGTGGTTATCTACTCTCTGTTTCTTTGGGAATGTGTTGCAATCCTCGTCGCTACGGTCTTGTCCCCTACGCTTATCCGAAGGGTGATCTTGTCTCCTGTTCGGGGCCCCTTGCGTCGAGCTCTTGGCTAGTGCCACTAACGAGCTCTCTACTAGTTGCTATTTTGTGACATCTAGTAGAATTTGGCCAAGCTCACATGTTCTTCACTCTAGAGCTCTTTCCACAGCATCGTGTTAAATCTGATCCTTGCGATCAGGAGAGTCCGAATGGATTCTTTGGGGGCATCAGTGACCTTTCCCTGCTTGTTCTAGAACCTCGTTAAATACGAGGTTAGTGATTCATCTCGCTCTTGGCGAATGTTGCTCAAGTAGCTAAGTGACATTGTGAACTGTCTTCTTGCCTAAAACTACTGTAGATATAAGGCGAAGAATTGTTGCTAGAAGTTGATGGAGTTCGCCTTGAGCCGTTTGTACCACCTCTTGGCATCTCCGACTAATGTGATTGCAAAGCACAGACATTTCGCTAAGTCACTGACCTAGTGTTCAGGTCATTAAAGTTGTCGAGGTGATCTCTGGGGTCCCCCTTCCTATTGAACTTACTTTTTGATGCCCTGAATCCTTGTGGGAGCGGGGCCTGGTGAACTTCCTCCGTAAAGGGGGAACTTACTATTTCTTCTGCTAGGTTGTTCTGGTGAGATTTAGATCGTCGAGCATCCTTTGCATGCGATCCAGGTCTTCATTTTGGTTCCCTTGGTTGGCTCTGTTAAACTGTACCTCGAGCAAGTGGGTTTGCAAATCTATCGCTTGCGAAGTTCCTCCGGTGCGTGCGTTGATACGCGAGGTCGAGTCATGATGGCTGGGTGGGTAGGTGTTATCATGCTCGTCAGTGTGTTGCTCGCAACATCGGTCATAATCGAAACGTCAATTATTGGCAGATTGATGCACATGGCACGCTTCGGGAGCCTACGAAGACTGATCTTGTCTTAGACGTGGGTTAAAACCGTCACGCTAACGTTGGGGATACCGTCGAGCTTCTCGGTGGTATTTGTCACCTTCACTTTCCCTCATTGGCTGCCTCCATGGGTTTGTTTGCCTGCAGGACTCCCGCTCGTGCGTGAGGAGTTGTCTGCGAGGTTGGAGGTGTTGATCGCCCCCTCGTAGCGACGAAACAAACTATCGACCTGCAGAATTCATACATGTTAGGGTAACATTGGTGAAGCGTAGCTAGTCGGGGTTCTGGGCGACTGGTTGTTGGTTCCTCAGCTCAGCCACGTTCTGTTGCACCGCCTGTGCCAACCATTGTTTTGATCATCTCAATTAACTGGTCGTTCTCGGGATTTGATGTTTTTGCCCCCTGATTGTTTGTGGCATGTTGAGTTGGCGGCACAGGTGGTCGGCGTCTAACGTTCTCTTGTTGCACCTCCTGGTGGGCGGTTTCCACGTTCTCGTTATTTTCGGTGGTAGTTCTTGATTTGGTGAACACCATTTTGGTCCTGGGACAGGTAAATCGTGATGAACGTTTGCGAGATCTTTGAAATAGTTTTTTTTTTTTTTTTTTTGGGGTGGGGGGGGGGGGGGGGGGGGGGGGTGTGGGGGGGGGGTGTGGGGGGGGGGGGGGGGGTGGGGGGGGGGGGGGGGGGGGGGGGGGGGGGGGGGGGGGGGGGGGGGGGGGGGGGGGGGGGGGGGGGGGGGGGGGGGGGGGGGGGGGGGGGGGGGGGGGGGGGGGGGGGGGGGGGGGGGGGGGGGGTGGGGGGGGGGGGGGGGGGGGGGGGGGGAGGGGGGGGGGGGGTGGGGGTGGGGGGGGTGGGGGGGGGGGGGGGGGGGGGGGGGGGGGGGGGGGGGGGGGGGGGGGGGGGGGGGGGGGGGGGGGGGGGTGGGGGGGGGGGGGGGGGGGGGGGTGGGGGGGGGGGGGGGGTGGGGGGGGGGGGGGGTGGGGGGGGGGGGGGGGGGGGGGGGGGGGGGGGGGGGTGGGGGGGGGGGGGGGGGGGGGGGGGGGGGGGGGGGGGGGGGGGGGGGGGGGGGGGGGGGGGGGGGGGGGGGGGGGGGGGGGGGGGGGGGGGGGGGTGGGGGGGGGGGGGGTGGGGGGGGGGGGCTTCCTTCTTAGCGGCCAAAATGTTGATATAAAATTCTGCACCAACCAGCGAGATCCGATCGATCTTGTCGAGATCAGAACTGATGTGTGCGTGATTACGGGTAATCAGCGATGAGTGAATGATAACGCTAAAAAGTAAATGACAAAGAGAACGTCTAAAGTGGTTCAGCGAAGTTAATAGCCTACGTCCACTGTGTTTTTTGTATATGTTGTGAGAGCTTACAATGTAGTTTTTATCCAGAATTCGTATCCCCCTCCTCATAGTTTTAGGGGATTTATATACAAGATTTATATAAAGGAAAGAGCGAAATTAAGGGTATTACGAATTATTTGAATCATAATCCGGATATCCTTGCGATTGGGCACTATAATAGCACAACGACAACTGTTGATCCTGTCATTCCTGCGATATCTGGGATCTGAAGTAATCTGGGGATTAATTGATTAATTCCTCAGATTGTCCGCGACTAGCTTGTGCTGGGTCGAGCTACGACTCGATGAGCTTACGTTGGGTTTATCAATCATAGTTGCCGAGATCATTCTGGGTCGAACTATATCCTCGCGTTAGCCCGAGCTTGGCGGAAAAACCACACACAACAATAGACTTTCTAGAATTTTGAATTTTTAATAAACTGTTTCAAAATCTTTTACCTCTACTCTCCTTTTCCTTGTTTGTAATTTTTGGCTTGAAGTAAATCACTCGAACTCGATTTCTTATTTCATTATTGATAATTTAAGGATAAGTCAATTCATTTATTAATATTCAATTCTTGCCTTGAAGAAATTATCGTTGTTTTTTTTTTTTTCTTATTTGTTGGTGTCAAAGTTCTATATTGATTAGAAGATGAGGGTCTTGGTCGTTTATATAGCATAAGGACACCCTCACCATCCATAGGTGCCTTTTCAGGACAAAATCATATGAGTCCATGGCCTAAAGTGAACAATACCTTTAAGAACCCACCTATGATGTGTTTAGATTCAGTATACAATAGTTGCTACTAGAAGGAAGGCCTAAGCCACTCTTAAGCCCCTCGCTCCCTAGGGAGATGTGTTGGTGCCAAAGTTCCACATCAGCTAGGAGACAAGAGTTTTGGTCGCTTATATAGCACAAAGACACCTTTACCATCTAAAGGCACCCTTTTAGGACAAAATTGTCCGACCCAAGACCCAAAGCGGACAATATTTATATATTGGACATCTTGAAATTTTCAATGTGAGGATCAAAGATGAGTGTCTAGTCCATCACTCCTCTTTGATGCCCACGTTAAAAAAATTTGAACTATCCACATTTGACAATGATTATATATATATATAGTCTAACATAAAATCTTAGATGAAAAATATAGAAAATTAAATTGCATATTTTTTAATTCTTTAATTCCTTAATTTTATTTTCTTGAAATCATTCTCCCTTCATTAGTTTATATGCTTATTTTGAGAAGTTTAGCCTTTTTTTACTACTTGCTTGACTCTATTATATTACTAGTAATAATTGGCTTAAATTTCATTTTTAAGGTGACCATGCTATCAAATAATCAGAATTTTTAACTTTTTCATCGTAATGTTAGTCTTTTTTCTTTTCTTTCTACATGCCCCATCAGAAGTGGCTAAAGAATTTATAGGTCCGTTTGGTACAACTTATTCTATTAGAACTTATAGAAAGAGAGTTTATTGGAGTAGAACTTACGAAAATATATCTTTTATGAAAATTTTTGTTAGTTGTTTACTTAGAAAAATGTAACAAAGTTTTTAGTATTAATTTATCAAAAAAAAATTCATATATAATAATAAATCAAGTCAGATTTATAAAATATAATAAGAGTATTATGAAATTTTAACACTCTAGAACATCATTAATGGTTCTCTTTATTTTAAAGAGTATATTTCACATAAATAAAGAGAATCTTCATTAATTTTTAAATATAAAGAACAAAATTTGTATTCAAATTCAATGGACTCTTTAAATTAGACTTAATAAATATAAGAGAGAATTAATAATAAAATGTATAAAAACTTGTAATTTATTAAATAAAATTGGGATAGAAAGTGAAATTTGACTCTCTAGATGTAGAGAGTTAAACTCACTCTTTAATTTATATTTAAAGAATAAAGAATCTATTGAACTATTGTTTTTATAGACAAACTCTTTATAATAAAAAGTTTGCGTCATATAAATAGTTTTTTGAAGATGTTTTAAATAAGCTCAATAGGAGTTTATGGGAAGAGTTCAAATAAGTCTAGAATAGCTATTTTAAATCTAATAAACTCTTCTAAAATGAAATCAAATAACTTAAAAAAAAAGGTTAAAAAATGCTTATGATTTTTTAAATAAATCCTTTTAGTCAATAGATATTTATGATCTTGTAGTACATTTTAAGAAAACCTCTTTTAAGAAAGAATATTGGACACATAAATAGAAAAGTGAAAGTAAAAAAATCAATAAAGTAAATAAAAACAAATTATTTGTGAATTAAAAAAAAATATTTTTTTGAGTTTGTATAAAAAATTTACTGTATACGTAGTTTCCGCAATGGGAATACGCAAACGACAAAGCAGTCAAGAGAAACAAAACACCTAGTCGTATTAAATGCTATTTTATTTCACTTTGATTAGAGTGAAATTTCCATCTGTTCGAGGATCCTTCTATTCTTGTGCAACAAACATGCAGAAAAAGGCTTAAAGATTTCCGTTCTTGGCCTTAATGGTGTAGCTATTAATGACTAATCACTTGTTGCTATTGACATGCAATCCAATCTCAAGATCAAGATCATTGAGCAAAGTTGCTTGAGCTTTGAACAATACTAATTACTAATACAAATCTGAAAATTACATTACATAGCAGAATACTAAAATAAATTATCTTGTTGGTGGCAAGATCACCAGATCTTGTCACCCTTAACTATAAGAAAACACAAGGCTTGTAAATATTACAGAAAATACATAAGACAACCATAAGTCTTAAGGAGAGCCTGCAAGAGGTAACATTTTGCAGTGAGAAAATGCAAATGATAAAATGGAACTAATAATTTAGCAGTGGCAATGAAAAATCAGTATCCAGCTAGCCCATCTTCTGTGGTCGCAAGGGAAGGTGAGAGTGAATTGCGCGATTCATCGTATTCTTCCCCTAGAGGAGACTGCTCCACCCTGATATCCTCAATCATCTTAGCCACTTCAGCCATTGTAGGCCTCTTTTCAGGCAGTGGCACCACACAGGCCAACCCCACATGAAGCATTGACACAAGTTCCTCTTCAATGTTCTTATACCTCAAAAGCTCTTGATCAAACACTTCTGCTGTCCACTCTTCCTTCACTACTGATCTCACCCATTTGGGAAGATCCACTGCTTGCTCCTCTTCATCGACACGAGGATGAGTCGGTGAAGGGTACTGTGATGGAGCTCTCCCAGTAAGCACTTCCAACAACAACACCCCAAAACTATACACATCAGCCATTTGAGAAAGCCTCTTGACTTCAAGTTGTTCCGGAGCCCTGTATCCACCTAATCTCGCTATGGCATGAACCGGATTCAAAAGCAATGACAACCCAAAATCAGAAATGCAAGCAACACCGTTCTTGTCAAGTAACACATTAGAAGACTTCACATTTCCATGTGGTATTTTCGATGCACCATACTCTTGATGAATCCGCGCCAATCCTCTGGCTGCTCCCAAAACCAAACTGATCCTTGTCGTCCAATCCAATGGAATTCTCCCAGGTCCTCGGTTCCCTGATCAGCAATCACAAATTTTTATTAAATCTAAACACATTTTATTAAATCATATAATAAAACTCCAACAACAAAAAACTCACCATGAAGAAGTGAATGTAAGCTTCCATTAGGAAGATAATCATAAACAAGAAGTTTCTCCTCTTTAGCATAATAATAAGCTCTAAGTTTAACAACATTTGGATGCTTAAGCTTCCCAATCACATCCATATATTGCTCAAAATCTTTTCTTGCACAAGGGTTAGCATCCTTCAACCTCTTCACTGCTACAACACTTCCATCATCAAGAACAGCTTTGTAAACAGTTCCAAGACTGCCCTTCCCCAACATTTCAGCTGAAGCCCTCAACAAATCTTCCAATTCAAACTTATTCTTCCTTTCATAAAACACAAGTTTACTTCTATCTGTTGCATTTGTTCCATCACTGTCATTACCTCCATTTGCATACACTCTCTTTTCACTTCCATAACCGCTCCCACTTTTTCTCCTCTGCTTCTCACTTGAACTTGTTCGATCTTTACGGCAACAATAGGCCACAACAAATGACGTCACCACTAATAAAGCGACGCAATTGCCTAACACAATTGCCACAATAGCTCCAGTACTAAAACCATTTTTGGGTTTCTTTTTATCTTCACCGAGTTTAGGCGTTTGTGGCATTGAGGTTGGATTAGACGGCACCGTTTCAGTGGATGCAACATCCGGTGGAGCACTATCAGCTGTGAGGGAACATACCGGTAACGGACTGGACCCACATAGTCCTTCATTTCCGACGAAGCTTCGTTGACTGAATTTCTTTAGCAGACCATCCGGTAACCGGCCGTACAGTTCGTTGTTAGACAAGTTCAGTTCTTGTAAGTTGGGAGGCGAAGCCGATAAATCGGGAATTCGGCCGGTGAGTTCATTGTTCTGTAACCGGAGAGTCAAAAGCTGGGTCAAGTTTGTTACTTCTTTGGGAATTGGGCCACGGATGTTGTTATCCGACAAATCTAAGCGGATAATTCGCTTGAGAGACGAGATTTGGGGCGGAATCTGGGCCGAGAAATCGTTACCGGAGAGATAAACGAGTTTTAAGTCGGTGCAGTTGGTGAGCGGCAAAATGGTCCCATTTAAGCGGTTTTCGTGGAGGTCTAGAAAGCGTAGCTGGTCGAGAAGAGAGAGAGAAGTGATGGGCCCACGTAGCGAAAGCGAAGGAAGAGAGAGTGCAACGACACGATTGGCTTTTAAGGAGCAAATGACACCCCGCCAGGCGGAGGCGCAGGCGTCGGCGCCGGTCCAGTTGGAGAGAAGGCTACCGTGAGTGTCGGCCTGAAGGCGAAACAATGTGAGGGCATTAGTGTCATTGTGGAGGGAAGAGGATAGAGAGAGTGAGAAAAGAGAGAGAGTTAGAGAGAAAAGAAAGAGATAAGATTTGTTGTTCATGTTCTGAGAAATCTCAAAGGGAGCGAGCGGGAAGAGAGACTGAACAAAGTGTTTTAAAAATATAGTAAGACTGCTTTTAAAATAAGTGCTTTCTTTTCGCATGGGTTTACAACGATTTCTAATAAACACACCCAAGAGTTTTAGATAATTACAAATGCACCCAAATAGTTGATTACTTTATCTAATAATTATATATTCTTTTCAATTTTTGTTTCTACATTTTATACTTTAACTATTTAAATAATCATATTTATTAACCAATTTTATAGAATAAATCTACTTTTATAAAATAAATAAAACCTAAATTTAATTAAATTATATACTTAATAAAATAGGAGAGGGGATATAATAAGATAAATGATACTAAAGTCTTTTCGAACAAAGTTTCAGTTTCTTTGTAACTATTATTTCTTCAGTTTTTATACAGTTAAAATAATATATTACTAGAACAAGGTGTATTGTAGTCTTTATTGGTAAAATTCAATTTCTGGAATGTATGTATTACTATACTATCTGAAATATTTGGGTGTGTTTAATCATTTCCTGTAACTTTGAGGAGGAAATAGTTGTTAAGCCCTTTGGCATGTGGTGCTTTTTTATTGTTTGGGTTGTGAAATGATTAAAGGAGAGGTTTTATTATGAAGGGTATTGTTGTATGTTTGAATGATTAAAGGGAGAAATTGGAATATGGGTGAATCATTGTTGTTCTCCACTTCTTACAATTGGAATGAGTAACTAAATCACTTTTTTTCAACTTTTCTGCTTTTTATTTTACCAATTACCTAAATTCTCTAGCCATTATTTCTCATAAAATGAATTTTTATTTCATATTAGTTGATCTCACCGGAAGAAAATAAAATAACCTGCCAAACTTATATTTGATTGGACTCTAGGTACTCACTCATTTTTCTTTCATATCATATGTTCAATTTTCCAAAGTAAACTCAATATTTTGGTTCAATTTTAGGTTGATTATCACATGGGAGTGATGATTGATGAGCTGTTGGTGTCGGTTTCGGTTGAAATATCAAACTCATTCATATTGTAACTAAAATTTTCTAAGTCAAGATGTTTTACTAATTATTTTTACTATACTCTATAGTAAATATATGTTTAATAAATTTAATTTTATGCAGAGTTTCGGTTTTTCGTACTTTGATAAAGTGCATACTCCTGCAAAACTTTTTCTTTTATCCTAACGTAAAACATCTGCTGCTTTATAGAAGAATGGGAAATTTGTTTCAGAAGGAAGTTTTACTTTTTACCATTAAGATGATAACATGAGACATTTGATTTGATTTGATTATAGCACTGTGTGTGTGTTTACTAAAATGGGTTGCATTGCATTGTATTTTATTTCCCACTTTGGTAATTCAGTTTCAAAGCCCAACTTAATTAGAAGATTTTGTGTATCTAAACTTTTGAAAGTGGAGTCAATGCCTCTTAAATGATGGACCGTATTAAGTAACAAATTTTGGTTTGACCATGGAATTTATGTGCATCCGACATTTATTTTAAGAGTAATGTTACAGTTACCGAAAGAAGCGCACCGAATTCACGTACCGAATAACGTGATAAAATCCTGATCGTCGATTAATATTAATTCATAATTAATCAACGGTCAGGATTGCACCACATCATTTGGTGCATGAATTCGATGTGCTCCTTTCGGTGACTGTATCATTTTCCTTATTTTAAATGCATATATAGCCTCCAAGGAAAGATTGCATGCAATTGAATAAATAACTCAAAAGTTGTTGTAAAATTTTGATGATGCTCATTATGTGTTTTGAAATGTTGTTTCTTCAAATATGGAAAATGCTATACATGTTATTGTCATGCTAAGTACATAAATTAATACTATTGGATCATTGGTCAATTTAAATCTTTGACCGTCACCTAAGGGTAAAAGTTAGTAACTAATATTATCAATTAACAATAAAGTATGTTCTAACAAAAAAAATTGGCTTACAACCCCTAAGTGGCAATTCCCAAATTCAAAATTCATCAGCAAAAAACTGGGAGTTACTACCTAGGGGTTGTAAGAGAGAATTTGTAAAATTGAGTTGTAAGTATAGTATTGTCCATGTTTTAAATAAAAATCACAATGCTAAAATATATTTTGGAAACCTCAAGAAGGATCACAAGCACGTAATTGCCTACAAGGGCATCATCAAGTACAATAATAATGGATCCTTTTAAGGGTCGGTCGCCCACTCCCATAGAGAAGTGCATGAAGGTCACCACCTCTCAATTGTTAGGGAAAATTGAGAGCTTAAGAATCCTATGAGGGCTTAAGAGAGTTATCCTTAATCCCTCGATGAGACCATCCCTTTATTAGGTGACAATCTGAAGGCTTGGATAGTCCTTGCAAAGACAAGTTTCAATCAACAATGAAAGAGCTCGGTCCATGTGGACTCCCCAGATCACCATGAATCTAAAAGCTCACTCCCTTTTAACAGGCAATATATGTGCAAACCAAACAAAGATCTTTCCAAGGACGGAGCCAAATTTTGTTTCAGTGGGGGCAAAGAAAAAAAAATTACATATAAAAAAGTTATTCATGACAAATTGACCTTTTAGTACATTAAAAGAAAGAAATTTAAAATATATTTGAGATTTGAGAAATGTTGTTACGAAAATTCGCAGCAACCAGCAAGACTCAATCAACCTTAGCAGGACTAAGTCAGATGGGAGTGTGATCGCGTTCAACCATTGATGGGATGTGAACAGATCGTAAGTGAAAGATAAAACGAAGTAAGATTTTTAAAGTGGTTCGGCAAGTTGAGTCAAAGCCTACATCCACGGTTATGTGATTGTTATGGATATTTTTCGCTTTATTTACAGATCACAAAGAGTTGCTCCTCTCTCCTAATGTGTTATGTTGTAGAAGAACAGAAGACCTCTGTTGTTCATGTTCTGAGAAATCTCAAAGGGAGCGAGCGGGAAGAGAGACTGAACAAAGTGTTTTAAAAATATAGTAAGACTGCTTTTAAAATAAGTGCTTTCTTTTCGCATGGGTTTACAACGATTTCTAATAAACACACCCAAGAGTTTTAGATAATTACAAATGCACCCAAATAGTTGATTACTTTATCTAATAATTATATATTCTTTTCAATTTTTGTTTCTACATTTTATACTTTAACTATTTAAATAATCATATTTATTAACCAATTTTATAGAATAAATCTACTTTTATAAAATAAATAAAACCTAAATTTAATTAAATTATATACTTAATAAAATAGGAGAGGGGATATAATAAGATAAATGATACTAAAGTCTTTTCGAACAAAGTTTCAGTTTCTTTGTAACTATTATTTCTTCAGTTTTTATACAGTTAAAATAATATATTACTAGAACAAGGTGTATTGTAGTCTTTATTGGTAAAATTCAATTTCTGGAATGTATGTATTACTATACTATCTGAAATATTTGGGTGTGTTTAATCATTTCCTGTAACTTTGAGGAGGAAATAGTTGTTAAGCCCTTTGGCATGTGGTGCTTTTTTATTGTTTGGGTTGTGAAATGATTAAAGGAGAGGTTTTATTATGAAGGGTATTGTTGTATGTTTGAATGATTAAAGGGAGAAATTGGAATATGGGTGAATCATTGTTGTTCTCCACTTCTTACAATTGGAATGAGTAACTAAATCACTTTTTTTCAACTTTTCTGCTTTTTATTTTACCAATTACCTAAATTCTCTAGCCATTATTTCTCATAAAATGAATTTTTATTTCATATTAGTTGATCTCACCGGAAGAAAATAAAATAACCTGCCAAACTTATATTTGATTGGACTCTAGGTACTCACTCATTTTTCTTTCATATCATATGTTCAATTTTCCAAAGTAAACTCAATATTTTGGTTCAATTTTAGGTTGATTATCACATGGGAGTGATGATTGATGAGCTGTTGGTGTCGGTTTCGGTTGAAATATCAAACTCATTCATATTGTAACTAAAATTTTCTAAGTCAAGATGTTTTACTAATTATTTTTACTATACTCTATAGTAAATATATGTTTAATAAATTTAATTTTATGCAGAGTTTCGGTTTTTCGTACTTTGATAAAGTGCATACTCCTGCAAAACTTTTTCTTTTATCCTAACGTAAAACATCTGCTGCTTTATAGAAGAATGGGAAATTTGTTTCAGAAGGAAGTTTTACTTTTTACCATTAAGATGATAACATGAGACATTTGATTTGATTTGATTATAGCACTGTGTGTGTGTTTACTAAAATGGGTTGCATTGCATTGTATTTTATTTCCCACTTTGGTAATTCAGTTTCAAAGCCCAACTTAATTAGAAGATTTTGTGTATCTAAACTTTTGAAAGTGGAGTCAATGCCTCTTAAATGATGGACCGTATTAAGTAACAAATTTTGGTTTGACCATGGAATTTATGTGCATCCGACATTTATTTTAAGAGTAATGTTACAGTTACCGAAAGAAGCGCACCGAATTCACGTACCGAATAACGTGATAAAATCCTGATCGTCGATTAATATTAATTCATAATTAATCAACGGTCAGGATTGCACCACATCATTTGGTGCATGAATTCGATGTGCTCCTTTCGGTGACTGTATCATTTTCCTTATTTTAAATGCATATATAGCCTCCAAGGAAAGATTGCATGCAATTGAATAAATAACTCAAAAGTTGTTGTAAAATTTTGATGATGCTCATTATGTGTTTTGAAATGTTGTTTCTTCAAATATGGAAAATGCTATACATGTTATTGTCATGCTAAGTACATAAATTAATACTATTGGATCATTGGTCAATTTAAATCTTTGACCGTCACCTAAGGGTAAAAGTTAGTAACTAATATTATCAATTAACAATAAAGTATGTTCTAACAAAAAAAATTGGCTTACAACCCCTAAGTGGCAATTCCCAAATTCAAAATTCATCAGCAAAAAACTGGGAGTTACTACCTAGGGGTTGTAAGAGAGAATTTGTAAAATTGAGTTGTAAGTATAGTATTGTCCATGTTTTAAATAAAAATCACAATGCTAAAAT